TTTTTTTTTTTTTTTTTTTTTTTTTTTTTTTTTATAACAGTACAATTTAACCCAATGATGATTCTGCACGTAGAAAGTGGTATTTTAATCTGCAATCTTCTCCGCATAGCGAAACCAGTTTTTATATGTAATTAGGTAGGGAAATATTGTACTGGGAGAAACGTTCTCCCAATTTTATTTATTTGCTAAACCGCCTGTGGGTTAATATTTCATACATCCGCCTTCCATTTGACATTTTATAAAATACTTTAATTCACTGTAAATCCTTGACTTATATAATGTTTTGTGAATTCATGCATTCTTTTGTGTTCAATTACAACCAACTGAGCGTCAGAATTCCATATTGAGAATAGTCATTCATTTATTCAAAATTGCAATACAGTTTGCAGTTCGAGACAGTGATAAATCCGTTTGAAGATACGCGTATTGATCACGAGTGTCAAACTGCTTGCCCTATGAGCAGCCTCGCCCGATGTCTGACACTTGGGGTTCTAGGGGCATTCATTATACCCAAGATGAATGTGTGAAGTGTCAATAAGTTTAATAGAGTTAGCCACACGAGAAATAATATTAGCTTATTATGAATTTTACAATTAGTGTAAAATCGGTTATTTATGCTGTTGGGCAATTACACTGTGATAGACTAACAGTTAATGTTTAAAAAATTTTATTATTTTGTTAAAGGCATTAAAAACGTTATTGAAGCATGGCTGCAATTAGTATGTCATTCAAGCAAATATACAAATGTATTTATATTTAACAAAATAATTTCTTTAAAAAATACTGTTGTAAGAGATAAATATCAATAACCTTTTTATAATATTTAAGCATATCTTCATATTTCTTAATCTAATTTAATCTTCATATTTAAGCATATTACTTATCAAATAATGTATTGTGAAAATTATTTATTTTAGCTGATTAGAATTTAGAAATATTAAGGTTTATACGAGGTTTATACGAGGTTGCTTGAGTTGTCAAGGTTGATTTGAGGCTTATTCGAAGTTGATTTCAAAAATAACCTTAAAAGATCAACCTCCCGAGGTGTATAATCAAAGTGTATGAAGTTATTTTATTAACAATTGAGGTTGTTTTGAGGTTGATGGAAATCTACTTTAGAGCAAACAGCTTAAGGAGGTTGTTTTTGTTGTGTATGGGTTATTTTTTCTACACTTCAAGCAAAGACGTGTATTTGAGGTGTGAATAAGTTCACCCGATCTAAATTAAAATTATTTCTGAGTTATATATGAGGTTGATTTTGTGAGGGTTAAATGAGGTTGAAATTGAGTGATATTAATGAGGTTATTATTCTTTCAAAACCTCATTTCATAATCCCAACCTTATAACCTCATTTTCTACCTTAGGTGTATTTTTTTACACCTGTCAACCTCAAAGCAACCTCAAAAGCACCTTATTTTTTGTAAGGGTAGCTTATGCCGGAATTTAAATAAAATAAAATAATTTTTTTTGCCTACAACACTTAATAAAAAAATAAGTTTATACCATTTTTAGTATATATTACAGCTGCTGTAGTGTACTAGTTCTCTCCGACCCTATTTGCTGCTGCTTCCCAGCCCCCAAACATCGCCATGTAATCTTATATGGTTTACTTAGCAAACAATGATCGCTTTGTTTGCTATTAAGTTATAACTCATTTGAAATTTGTTCCATCGTTAAATCCTAAAATTTTAAATCAATTAATAAGATCTTTAAAATTAATTCCTCTTTAAAAAATCAAACTTTTCAGTCAATAAAAAGTTATTGAAATAAAAAATGAATGGCATACAATTAAAATATTTGCAGAAACAAAACAAGCATTATGCTTTAAAAAAACAATTGCTATTAAAGTTTCACAACTTTGTAAAAAACACAATAATAAATTTCAGAGCTTTGAGTTATCACTACAAAGCTATTATTGTTATGAACAAAATTATCATTTTTGAGCCTGCATAAACGAACACTTTTTTTTCCATTTGAAATATTCACTTTTAATCTTTTAATTCCGCCCTACTTATACCTCAGTTTGTTTCAGTTTTTCGTTGTCCACGCGAGAAAAGAATTTTCATTCAGAAATTTGTAAACACGTATGTTTACGTTTTCATACTTATGACTGCTCACGTGCTTGATTTTTCAATTCATTGTTACCAAAGCGAAAAAGAAATGAGGACTTTTTTTGTTGCCGTGTAAGTAAAATACATAAATAGATTAGTTACTTTCCCAATAAAAACATACCTTTCGAGATGGTTTTTTACGTAGAATTCTGATGACAATACATTTTATGAAAGTAATAAATATTAAACCACAGCCAAATATTATATGAAAAAGGCTGCGTAGAAATTTGATATGGTGTTGAAACTTGGTAAGTTTTGAGAATCCATACAATTTAGTGCTTAAAGCCTATTATGCTGGCAACTAATCCCAAGTTAGATTTGCCAAATTATGGTTGTGTTGAGGAGAAAATACAGAAACCTAAATCCACTATGTGAAAAAACCAAATCAAATGGATTTATAGTTTCGATTATTTCAAGTCTCATAAAATTGCATCTATTTCAATTATTCTTTTCAATTTCAACCTGTCTCGAAGCATATATTGTGCTATTGCTATTTGGCTACTATTACTCAAATATAATTACACAAAACTTAATTAATCATTGAATTACATCTCTCTGATTAATGGTGAAACTAATCCATATTTAAACTTTAAGCCAAGCATTTCCTCTTCTATTGCATTTTCTTAGAATCATAGCTGTATCTTAAACAGTCCAAACTTGTAAGAGAATGTGCAAGATCTTGGAATATTTCACAAAGGGAATTAAGTTTTATTAATTAATCACGTATTTTCTGAAGGCATACATAAACTCCACAATACAATTAATATTTCCGAAGAAACAAATTCCAATATCCGATAGAAAATTTATACCTTTAGAAAATGGATAAGTAGATAACAATCATTAATTATTCTAAAAATGCATTTTCAGAACAATATACTTTTTTGTGTTTTTCAAAAATATTTTTCTAAAGCTTATTTTGAATCAAAAGTTTGCTTATATTACTGCTTATGAAAGGACCTTTAACTTAACTGTATTTATTTAATTATTTATTGCCTTGTGAATTTTGACAGTTTTCTAAACTATTTGTTGAAAAAATCCCATTTAGATATTACTTGAAATAAGTTCAAATATCCTCATAAAAATTAAGTGTTCTTTTGTAAAAATCCTTAAATAGAGAAAAAGAATGCTGATAGAGGTCACCACATTCGCTAATTCGACTGCAAATGAAATGTGTTCTCGTTTATCATTTGTATATTTTTACAGATATAATCTTTTAAATCATTTGCAGATAATTTTAAATAATAATTTATTCTATTGTAAATTATTTGCAATAGAATAAATAAAAAATATCCTATACTGTATTCAGATGACCTAGTGACAACAGAACACTACATTTTTCGACTTAGGTTCACGACTTTGGTTCGACTAAAAAATTAAACTCATTTAATGTCAAAAAATCTATGAAATTTTAACTGAATTGAGTTTAACATTTGATATTTTTAGTTGAAATTAGACACACTCAATTTCAAATTCAAACGGCTGCCATATTTTTAAAAAGCTTTTTAATTTCAAAAAAGATAGGTATTTTTCATATACACTTTTTATATCATAGTTTGAACGTACTTCTGGTCTTCACGTAGAAACGAGCATTAATGGAAGTGACAATATTAATAGTAATGATACATTTATTTTTTTAAAAAATAGTTGTTTTTCTAACATTATTATATTCAAAAATGTTTCTAAATCAAGGAACAACTCGAAATATTCCAAACAGTGAAAGAAAGTATATCATAATGTTAAATTCACTATTAAGTTTAGTAAAGTAGTGTGTAATATTATAAATATAGTAACGTTAATCACTATTTTGTCATTTAAAAAGAGTTTATTTCTAATCGTAATTATTTTTCATAAAATCAATAATTTTTTTTAACTGCTGAAAAATCTAACAAAATAACATTTCATAGTTGGTTCAGTTACGCGCAGAAGCATATTTTACTAGTGAATAATAAAAAGAATCAATGCAGACAAAATTCGTTTTTTTTTCATGATATGATTAAAAAAAGTTTAGTAAATTGTAATTGAAAAAGAAAACAGCACATACCTGATATGTTTTATATTCATTTTGAGTCAATAAACACATTTCACTGATGAAAATGCGTAAACACATCCATTACATTGTTCCATTACCACAATTAAATTAAATCTGCTTTGAATTATCGTTTGCTGAGTTAAAATTTAAATAAATAAAACTTCTTCACATTAATGAATTGCTGGTTGAATGCCTAAACTTTCTAATATCTTTATTAATCAAGCTTTTAATTCTAGAAAGTGAAAACGATAACAAAAACGATACGTATTTTGCAAACAATCAAATTATCTGTCAGACGATTAAACTTGAAATGGATGGCAAAGAATAGTTAAAAAATTTATTAATTTTAAAAATTACATACCCTATACAATTATACCATTTATTTTTAAACTTCTAATACTGGAAAAAAAAACGTTTCCACCCTAAATTTATCTCCGGTAGATTTTCTTATTAAATTTTCCCTAATTTTCCTATTGGTTTGCAACAATACATTATACTAGTGGGCTGCGCCCCCTGCTCGCTAACGCTCGCCAACCCCCGAAAATTGCTACGCAATCTTATATGGTTTGCTTCGCAAACCAAGCTCGCTTCGCTCGCTACTAACTTAGGTACATTGCAAATTCACAAAATTCTAAGAATTCAAAACAATCATTCAAATCCATATAACAACTTTTTTTTAAAAAAAACAATTACATCTTTTTAGTAAATACTAAGTCATTAAAATAAATTTGAATTCAAATAAATGACATGTAATTCGTTAAACCTATTAGAAATGTGTTGTTACATATGGCTTTATTGGAAATATTAATCCATATACAATTTCAACTTTAAGTGGACTTAAACAAAGAGTAAAAAGGAACAAAATTACAATAACAAGCAAAGAAAACGCATGACAAACACATATTAATACAAAAAGAACACATAGAAAAAATTAAAGTAAGAAAAAATATATCTATATACAGTGAAGAATGAGGAGTAGTCTTTACAGAGAGTTCATGTGATCTCTGGCATCCCAGTAAAGTTTACACAAATCACCCAGCTCTTGGGATTGTTTGTCCAGTAAAGGGCATACAAGCAAGTGGTCTGAGTTCATGGTTCCCGAATTGCAGATTTGGCACTCACTAGATGGAAGGATACCTATTCTGTTGAGGTGCTCTGCCAAGCAGTCATGGCCTGTTGAGAGTCTGAAGTTTGCCACAGCCTTCTTACGAGGACTGTGACAAAATTTCTTCCAACTGTTTTGGATGTTAGCCCAGGGTTTTCCAGTGGATTTTACTGCTTGGTTGAGCTTTAGGTTGGTCTTAAGTTTCTCGGAAAATTGTTTTTTAAGGGAGTCTGGTGGAATCGGTTTATTACATTGTGGTTCGAGTGTCCCTTTCTTGGCTAGTTGGTCTGCCTTTTCATTGCCATTGATTCCTACATGCGAAGGGATCCACTGGAACATAATAATTTTGTTGGCATTCTCGAGAAAAATCAAATTATCTCTAATATCTGAAATAGTCTGAGTATCTGAATCATGGTTTATGGCAACTGCCTGGATAGCTGCCTTAGAGTCGACAAGGATTACTGCTTTAGTGAAGTAATTGATCTTATTCTTAAGGTTTTCCAGGGCTATCGATATAGCGAAGATCTCTGCATCAAAATTTGACATATAGTATCCCACAGGGGCGCTGTGAGAAAAGAGCTTACTGTGTACTCCTGCTCCGGTGCTGTCTTGTATTTTTGAGCCGTCAGTGTACACTCTCGTCCATTCTGGTTCAGGGTATTGCTCTTGTAGCATGCATAATGCATTTGTTTTTAGTACTGTGTCAGATATGTTTTTCTTACCCAAATCATTGATATCTAGTTGGTGCCTGACATCTATAAATTTGAGAGGGTTTGTGATGTTCTTGTTACAGATAATTGGCTCATCTTCTTGGAAATCATGCAGTAATTTTTCACATACCTCTAGAGGAGAGATTTGGGTCTTCATGGAACTTGGTTTTGATTCATTCATCCATTGCGCTCTATGGGAGGCTTTCATTTTAACATAAGTGCCAACTGCTTGTATTTTAATTTCAGTGGTAATTGGTGGATTAGAAGTATAGTATTGTAGGGCTATAATTGGGGTTGTCTTCACTGCTCCCGTAATGATTCGGAGAGCATTGTTTTGGGCTCTTTCCAAAGAGTCGAGCTTACCTTGTGCGCTAGAAATTAACACCTCACTTCCGTATTTGATAATTGGTTTGATATAGGTGTTATAGGTTTTATTTAGAGTGTGTTGTGAGCTTCCCCATTTGGCACCGGCTAGTCTTTTCAGAATTGAAGTTCTCTTTTCTACTTTGTCTATAACAGTATTGATATGATTGGTAAAGCTTAACTTGTTATCCAGTACTACACCTAGATATGTGGTAAGGTTGCTTTTTTGAAGCTTACTATCATCTATTATCAAATCAAAGTCTGGATTAACACGCCTTAGAGAGTAGAATTGGTAAACGGTTTTATTTTTGTTGATAATCATGTTATTCTCTTTGGACCAAGACTGCAAGACCTCGAGAGCTTTATTCATAACACCTTCAAGATTATTCCTTTGATCTTCATATGCTTGGCAGTTTTCTGCTTCCGTCCAAATGACAACATCATCTGCGAACATACAAACGTTAATACCATCTAAACTTGTTAGTTTGTCTACCAGATCGTTGATGTAGATGCTAAATAGGGTACAGCTGCTTACTGCTCCTTGTGGCAGACCGACTTTGCTTTGTTTGTAGGTAGATTCCTGTTCGTTCCATCTTGTTTTTGCCCATCTTTGGGATAAGAACCTTCTGTAACATTTAATGCAAATTCCACAAGTTTGAAGTTTGGTTAGAAGTTTGCTTCTCCAAACTGTGTCGTAGGCTCCTTGAAAATCAAAAAATACTGCCAAAGAACTTTTCTTTGAACTGAAACCGGATTTAATTTTGTGAACCAACTTCATAATTGAGTTGGCGGTTGACATGTTGTTTCTGAAACCCGACTGTTCTTCTGCTAGGATATCATTTGACTCCAGGTAAAGCCTTAATCATGCATTTATCATTCTTTCAAAAGTTTTGACCATGACGGATGTCAGTGAGATTGGTCGGTATGATTCTATGTCTTCGGGTGACTTACCTGGTTTTAGAATTGGAATGATTTTTGCTTTCAGCCAGTTTGTTGGGAGGCTTGATTCTTCGTTCCAGATTTTATTAAAAATCGTTAGTAGGGATTTCTTCGCTGATATTCCCAGGTGTTTCAGGAACTCCGGGAATATGTTATCAGTACCTGGTTGTTTACCGTATTTGAGGTCATGTATAGCCTTGTTCAATTCTTCTATTGAAAAGTCCTCCGTGAAAAGGTTTTCTGGGCACTTAAACTTAGATGTTCCTCTTTTTACTAGTTTGTTGTTTCTTTTCTCTTGTTTCTTTTGTTCTTTGCTAAGTGAGTACCGATCAAGGTAAAAATTATTGAATAATTTTGCTATCTGTCTTGAACCACTTATATATTTGTTTCCTCTCTTTATGGGGTGATTATCTCTTCGTGTATATTTATTGTTCAGGTTGTTCATTAATTGATAGGCTTTGCGTCCGTCTGTCCTATAGTCTAAATCGTTTAGGCACTTATTCCATGCTTGTCGTTTAGCGTCTAGGACTTTTCTCTTCATTATTGCACATTCCTTTCGCCAATTGATAACATCTTGTTTCCGTTCTTCATTAGTTTTCCCCTCTATCTTTTCAGCTTCTCTTCTTGCTTGCTCTCTGATGTGTCTTTGTTCTTCAAGTTCAGTATTCCAAAATGGTTTGTAGTTAAATCTCTTTCCTCTTGGAATGTTCCTTTTAGCACACTCTTGAAGGGCTAAGGAAAAAGTTGATACTAATTGTTGTGGAGTTGCATCAGTTTGAAAGGTGTTTACCTGATGTTCCATATCTTCAGTGAAGGCTTTCCAGTTAGCTTTCTTGAAGTTCCACATGATTTTTGTATTACATCTTGCCGGTATTTGATTTGTAGTGACTGATGTTTTTATCATTCGGTGACCGCTTCTCGGATTTCCAATCACTGATTTTTTACAACAGTCAACTAAGTTTGCGGAAACAATAGTTAGATCAGGATTTGTAGAACTGCCTGAAAAGTGGATGAAGGTGTTTGGATCATCTTTATTGTTAAGGACAAACATGGCATTGCTATTTACAAAGTTCTCGACAATTTGTCCTACTTGATTTTGATAAGTGTATCCCCAGTTGGGGGAAGCAGCGTTGAAGTCACCTACAATTATAGTGTTACGGTGAGAAGTTAAGCAATCTAAATTTAAATTTTTGTTGTTTGGAGGACTGTATATACCAAAAACCCAGAAAATAGTATTTTTGTTCCAAATGTTAACGACTGCGATTTCTGATGTATCATGATTATTCATTGTTTTCAACACTTCAAAGGACGATGTCAGTTTGTTTCGCACGGCCACAAGGATACCACTTGCGATCTGCCTGCTCTTGAAAAGACCATGCATGGTGAAAGATTCTAAATTGTCGAACTTCATTTTGTCTTCTGTAATATTAGCTTCTTGAACGACCAGGATGTCGATGTTCTCCTCTGCGACTACTCTCTTAATTTCTGAAAACTTTGCAGAAGAAAGCCCTCCGGCATTCCACTGCAGGATAGAAAAACTAAAACTCCTTGCTCTATTTGCACTTATCGCCTTAGCCATCGCCGTTACTCATTTAGCACCACCCAGGAGGCACGTGTGATTTAAGGATATCACGGACTATTAGAAATGTGCTATAGTATAAAATCTTAAAGCGTAACAGCACGACTGAGACTCATTTTTCAACGAATAACTAATAACAATAATAAAACAAATAAATTCGTGATATAAATCAAAAATCGTCAAATAAATTCAATATATATTAATTCGTGAAAAAAAAAAACAGCTTTCGACAAAATACTAAAATAGAGATCTATCGACAAAGACTACTCACTTCTGCCTAGCTTAAGTCACATTTGGTGAGAATGCTCTCTCTGGTTATTTCAGTTTCCGTTTTTAAAAGTGCTATATGTTGAGCCACCTCAGCTAGATTTGGCATGTAACATTTTTACCGGCAATCATTGGTCGATTTTCTAGCGTTGCCATTCGGGGAGTTGAAATGAGACTTTTTTTTGTCCCCGTGTAAGAGAAATATATATGGGTCATTCTCACGAAAACTGTCATTTTTCAGTTCATAAAATCCCGAAAAAGTAAAGTGAATAAAAAGCTCTGAAACTTTTTATATTAATAGAAATATGTAATGGCATTATAAAGAAAGTATATATCCTATAAATTATACTTAATATTTAAATTAATTAATTTTTTAAATAATTAATTTATAATTAATTAATTTATAATAATTAATAATTAATTAATTAATTTAATAAATAAATTAATTAATTTAATAAATTAATTTATTAATTTTTTAATTTATTTTTCAAATTAATTAATAAGTAAATTAATTATTTTCACTATTTAAAAAGTGAGGGAATGACACTAATAGTGAGGGAATGATATTTTATTTTAATACATGTTTTTATCTAAGTTACATCTACCTAAAGTTTGAAAATGATAACATACTAAGTATATCTAATATTTATTATAATTTAGTCTTATATATTTAATAGTTTTTACAGGTTTGGGAAATAAAATTGGCTGGCACGATTGAACAAAAAAAAATTTAATAATATACTCATCTTGAATCATTCCCTCACTTCAGCGTCATTCCCTCACTTTATACACTAGTGAGGGAATGACGAATTCAATAAAATTTAAAAATAACAGTTAGGCCTAATTAATTTCTGAAGTCAATCACATACAATTATATTCATACAAGAAAGCAACATATAATTATCCACTTTCTCGATGAAGTTGTATTTTATTTTACTCTAAAAAATGACATGAGGGAATGACAAATGTAAAAAATTTTACCTGGTTTGATTCATTCAAATTTATTCCACAGCAAAGCTTCTTTAAGTTGAAGATGGAAACATACTGCAATTTTGTTCTATGATGCCAGTTGTTAACTTCTGAAGTTTTTATTAAAATATTTTTATTCTAAGAAGATTGCAGGTGATAAGAACATTGTTGTGAGGGAATGACGCGAAACACTGGGGACAAAGTTTAAAATAGTGCTGTGTTAATATTTTTATCAGAAATTAAATTTAAAATTGATTTTCTGAATTCTATATTTCAGTATTCTGAAATAAAAAACACGAATTTGTAAAAAAAAAAAAATTTATTTCAGAAATAATTTTTTTCTTTTTTTAAATCAGCAGTGGGGACAAGTGAGGGAATGACATATTGGTATATTTTAATTACCTAAAATAAATAAAAAATAAAAATTTATAATTTTATTTTTATTCTTTTGTTAGCTTGCATTCTGAAGGGCACTTTCCCTGAATTTCTTTTTTTCGTAAGCTGTAAAACAAACATATAATATACTGGGGACATGAAAATGACTGTTTTTGTGAGAATGACCCATATATAGATTATTTATTGTCACCATTGAATTTCCTAAGACCAAAGCTTAACTAACTTTTTCAATATAAAGATTAAAACTGACTTTTCCATCAACGATCATTCTAATGTTTTGAAAAATTGATCACCCTGAATAACTTTTGATCTTATGATTGGATCATCATGTTCTAGTACTCATCTTAATGGTAAGAGGGTGTGACCTCATATGTGCGAACTAATTAGCGCAGACAAAAATTTAAGTTACGAAAACAGACATAAAACGTACTTTCTCTGAATGAATATACCTTTTTTCTACTGATTTGGATTTCTGATCCCCAAAATAGTTTGGTCAAGAGAGCGGTCCAAAGTGTGGACCTCTTAATATTAATTTTACCTTATTGCGTATTTCACTATATCTCAAGAACTTTTGAAAATAGTTGAAAAACTTTTGCAATTAATTATAAAACTCGTTTATCCAAAGATAATTTCATGCAAAGTATAACTTTTAGTGACCATTTATTAAATAAAATAATAATAAATAATAAACATTTACTAAAAACTATATTCTGAATGGAACTATCTTTAGATCAAAAAATTTTGGTTGAACCCCTTATTGTCCCCCTATTTCACATTTTTGCGTAATCCGCAATATCTCGAGAACTTTTCAATTAAATTGAAAACATTTTGCACACACTTATACATTTTTTTGATCCAGGATAATTCCATACAAAAAATAATCTTTAGTAAATGTTTATCATTTTCTATTAATTTATTTAATATCAGTTGAAAACTTTTGAATCGTAAAGTATGTAATTGCCTATATCATTTTAAAGAATGTAATTTTACACGACAAAATACAAAATTTGAGCAGAATCGGTAGTATAGCTCCTGAGAAATTGAATTTTAAAAAAATTTATTTTTGTCCCTTATTTCTTAGCTCAAAATATTGTTTGCACTAATTAAGTAACATATTTGAGATCACTCATCGAACCATTAATATTAAGATCTAGAATGTGAAGATTTGTATCAGAACGTGACAAATTTGTTTTATAAACATTTCACGCAATTAATATGTGTTACTATTTGATTTATATACAATTCACTGTTGCAGAGAAATTGCATTTAAACCATAGAATTCGCAAAATTTCTTTATGTGCAAATTTATAAATTGCAATGTTTACAGTAACAAGAGTTTTAGGTTCTTTAATTTAATATAAACTAGAAAAACGTATGAGAACTAAAGAAACTAAAGAAAAGAGGAGAATTGAAACAAATTAGGTAAAAATAGAGATAGTATATAGTATTGAAAAAATCAACTAATGAGCAACGTATAAATGAATCAATGAGCAACGTATAACTGAATCAATGAGCAACGTAACAGTTGATTCAGTGAGCAACGTATGACTAAATCAATCAGCAACGTATCAACATTGATTTAAGGAGCAACATTGAATCAAGGCCAATCTTAGTTGATAAAAACAAATCTCTCTCCTGCATTGATTAAG